AATCCAAACCAGTCTGGGATTCTATGATTTGGGAGCTGAAAATGGAGCACAGCCCCTGTTCCAGGATGGTCATGGAATAAAACTTTGGTGTCAATTTGCAGCCCCAGGGAAAGGAGGGTGTTTGTTTTGCAGGAACCACCGTGCCTATTTATTGCCAGAGGGGACATGTGGCAGCCTCACTTGCTCAGACTCTTCTTGATGTGACTTCTCATCACTTATTTGCAGCAGCTTCCAGAGCTGAGGACACTTGGCAGCCTGGGTCAATCCAGCCACTGAGACCAGGCACATTCTGTCTTCAAATCCTCTCTTAGCAGCTGTTAGTTTGTTTTCAATGAATTTGGCCAAACGCTGATGAGGTGTGAAAGTGGTGACTGCAAACGTGGGGGAGGAGAGCAGGAACACTAGAGGAGCACGTCATTGCTGTATCTAAAGCTGGAGCTGGTTGATAAGCACATGAGGGGAGCTGAGCTTCCTCTCTGACACCAGATAGGCTGAGTGAGAAGTTGTGCAACCCCTTTAAAGCTTGTGGAGGTGTAATAATCGTGTGGGGAACCTGCCTGGTTAAACAAAATCCCACCAGGATTCCTCATGTGTCTTCATGGGACACGGGTTTGTTCATTTTGGTGGGGTAGGTTTCAGTCTCTTATCCCTTAACAGAATGAAGCCAGAAGCAGTGTGACTATTCTGGAATGTTGAATTACTGACAGAGTCTCTACAGCCTGCTGGAAAACTGTGTCTGAGGGTGTTGGGATTGTGACCAGAACCTTCCCCCTCTGGATAGGAAGGAAGGAAAATGGAGGCTGATAAGAAATTGTTTCTTGCAAGGTCAGCAAATTTTTTCCTTCTGGATTTGTTTCTTGGTAGCCAAGGTTATGTTAATGCACTGGAAATATGAAACTTCTCAAACAGGAAGAGAAGGGATGAAATATCTTACAGATGCTTTTCTAAGGAAATAGCAGATGCATGAGAGCACTGGAGGCTTGGGGGTTCTTTTGGTGTGTCCCTGTCACTGGGGCCGTGTGAGGGGACTGTTTTGTCACTCTGATACAGCACTGAGCTTTATGGCAGTGGAGGGTACAGAGTCATCAACTGATTCCGATTTGGAAAGGAATTCTGGAGGTCCAACCTCCTGTCAGAGCAAGGCCAACTTCAAAGATGGGTCAGGCTGCTCAGAGGCATGTCTGAGGCACTTTGCAGTGTCTCTGAAGATGGAGTTTCCACCACGGCTCCAGACTCCCATTGCAGGGGTTGTCCTGGCTGAAGAAGTCCCCTAAAGAAAAGGCACATGTCAACGAGGAGAGACCAATGTCAACGAGGAGAGACCAAGGGTCAGTGGTTCACCAGGGGTGTTTGGCAGAGAGAAGGGGATGGTGCAGTGTGTTTATGTTGCCTCACAGCCCTAAATATGATTAACAAGATCAACTGGAATGAAACCTGCTAAACGTTGAATTGAAAGGGCTAGAGATCTGCTGTGATACACCAGCAGAGGAATCTTGCTTCTCCTTTACCGAGCTGATGTGCACTTTCTTGCTGGCTCTTCTCTTCCCTTCGTGTCCCACCAGCATTTTTCCTCAGTACACTCCTTTTCCTTGTCCTGTTTTTCTGTGTCTGGCTCTTGCTTTCTGCTTTGCCTGGTTGTGCAAACTGATGGAGGTAGTGCTACTGCTTGCAGATTGCTTGTTCTGAACGTTGTGTTGCAATCCCGCAAAGTTCTTTTGCTGTCAGATGTGTTTTTAAAGTCAGTGGAGTATGAACTGTGAGATGTGGGGCTTTTGTACTGTCAGCAGTGTTTGGGAAGAGGTGACAGCAAACACAGCTCACCTGGATTTCAAGAGAACATACAATAGGGTGTTTGAAATAAAGGTGCTCCCTTCTCACCCTCCCTCCCACCCCAAATCTGTGCAACTATGGATGTAAGAGAATGGTTCTATGAAAGAAATGGCTGGTTGAAAGGTGGGAAGTGAGATACTCAAAGCTCCTCCAGTTCCAACCCCCTGCCACAGGCAGGGACACCTTCCACTAGAGCAGGTGGCTGGGGGCACACTGTGACCACTGTGGATCATCCAGCTTTGCTTTGGGATTGCATCAGTGCTCCAGGGTTGGTTTCAGGTCAGTGTCTGTGATCAGACACTGCAGACCATGGAACACATGTGCTATGGTCCCTTCTGTGGCCAGCTGAGCTGCCCAGGCTGATGTACCAGCTTCTCTTGGGTGTTGTGGTGCTCATCAGCACCATCCAGATTTTGCTGACCTAAAATACCTCTGGCACCTCAACCCTCTCTCTTGACACAGGTTTCTTGCCTGGCACACTCTGCCATGTGCTGCCTGCTGTGCATGTGCCCTTCTTGGACTTGGTGGGCTCAGACCCCTTCTCTGATGTGGCTGTATGGTTCTGCCTGCTCTGACAGTGATTTCATTCTCTTTGTCTGCCTCTTTAGTGATGGTCCCATCTGTCGAATCTGTCACGAAGGTGGAAATGGGGAGGGACTGCTTTCCCCGTGTGACTGCACAGGAACACTGGGCACCGTGCACAAGAGCTGCCTGGAAAAATGGTTATCCTCCTCCAACACAAGTTACTGTGAGCTCTGCCACACAGAATTTGTTGTAGAGAGAAGACCAAGACCTTTGACAGAGGTACTGCTTTCTTCCTGCTTCACTTTGATTTCCTTACCATTAGAGAGAAAATGATTTGTCCTGCTGTCCTTGTGGTTCTTGCTGTCTCCTCCTTAGCATCCACACAGAACAATTTGTTTAGAGACATCAAGTCTCTTATCAGACCAAGTGATGTCATTGCAAAAATGCAGTAGAGGTGTTTGGGGCAACTCTGTGAACCCCAATGTGCCACTCACCAGTGGCAGGCTGTGGGACCACGGAACATACTGCACTTGTAGGTACACCGCAGCTCCCTTGCGTGTGACAAGGGGAATGGCTTTAACCTGCCAGAGGGGAGACTGGGATGAGCTCTGAGGCAGAAGCTCTTCCCTGGGAGGGTGCTGAGGCGCTGGCACAGGGTGCCCAGAGAAGCTGTGGCTGCCCCATCCCTGGCAGTGTTCAAGGCCAGGTTGGACACAGGGGCTTGGAGCAACCTGCTCTAGTGGAAGGTGTCCCTGCCCGTGGCAGGGGGTTGGAGCTGGATGAGCTTTAAGGTCCCTTCCAACCCAAGCCAGGTTGGGATTCTATGATTCTATGACTTCCTTGTGATGCTTTGCTCTAAAAAGTGAGATGTGGTGATTTCTGATGCTGTTGATATAAGACCTGTCCGTCCTTGACATGTGCTTCAAAGCCTTTGGGTCTTGCTCCTTCCTGAGCAGCTGTGGTGCCTCATTGCTGCCCCATGTTCCCTATGAGCAGGACATGGCTCATTCAGTCCTTATGTTCCTTTTTGCAATGACCATAGGGGGACTGGGTTCCTGATGGGTCCTTCAGCCTCCCAGAGCCAGAAGGTACAATCCAGGCTCTAGATGGTGGGTTGGTTTGGGCTGGTTTGTTGTTCTGTCACAAGGCTCTCTTCATTCCCCTGTTTAGGCAGTCTGCTCTGCTCACATCCCAGACTTGCTTTGGCATCCCAAGTTTATAGTGCCTGCCTGTAATGAGGCCCTTTATATGCGGGGAGCAAGGGCAGCTTGGACCAGGCCATCTTCTGACCTCAGAATTCAAGTGCACATCCCCAAGGAGGAATAAGTAAATCAGTGAGTTACAGCACAAAAGGCCATGCCTGTTTGTTTTAGAAGACAGTTTAACCTGTCTAAATGTGTGTGAGTTATGTTGGCTGGTCAGCAGGCAATGCTGATGTGGCTGATGGTGCTGCGGGAGGGTGTTGGTAGCACACCTGAGGTCCAATTTGGAAGGTCAAAGCAAGGTGCTGCTTGGGTGTGTGTTCCACACAATGTGCAGCTGCAGAGAAGCATCAGTCTGCATGTGGGGATTTACAGATAAGGATTTTGGAAGCCCCCCCCCCCAGTCCTGTAGCCATCAACAATAAGAGAAGTGGGAAAGTGTCATCTGGAGCTGCCAAAGCAAGTATGGGTGCACCCTCATCCCTGCAGGGTTTTTCATCACATGCCTCCCTGGTTGTGTTGGGACTGGGGCATGTGGCTCTGGGTTTTGTTTCAGAAGTTGCTTTCCCTGTTGATAGCGTTTCAAACCAGTGCAGAGCAGTGCTGCTGCTGCTGTGCTGACAGGGGAGGCTGCAGGAGCTCTGTGAGCTGATTCTTACCAACAGATTCCTGTTACCTGCCAGCTACCAGAGGTTTCTGGGTGCCTGCCACCATAAGGGAGTGTGTGGGGAGGCAGGGGTTAATTCTGGGACTGCTCTTGTCCGCTCTCTCCTTCCCCTTGCTCTATCAGTTAGATTAAAACCGGGTCACAATTGGAATTTGAAGTTGCTTTTCCCATCTCCGTTTCCATTCCCATCAATTTAGAGGTTATTTCCTTTCCCTTCCCACAGCAATACCTGCCCCCTCCTCCTTCCTGCAGTCCCAGCTCTTCTTCCCACACTCCCATGTCCTCTGGGTGCCCACCGAGCCTCAGAGGGGAACAGAGCCCCCCAGTTGGGGAAGGATTCAAGCTTCCCTTTGCAAAATCAATATCCAGTTTTAATGATTGTTCAGTTTACAACTGATGGTCATTGACTTGACAGCCCCAGACAGGGAAAGGCTTTAGACTACAGGGCTTAACCAAGCCGTGTAGTCAGCAGTTTGTACAAGAGCATTACATCAGTGGTTAGTGCTGTCTGAGCCTTATCTCTTCTCTCCCAGCTGCTAAAATAGATAAAATGGCTCTTTGGCCAAAAACCTCTCAAATGGTTGTTTCAGAGGTTGAAAACCACTGCTTTCAAACATTTGGGAAGGCCTGTGTCTTGGCTTTGAGGGGACACTGCAGGCAAGCCCAGTCACAGGGAACTTGCTAAGGCTTATGCAGGCCAAACTTGGCATGCGGGTTTCAGATGGTTTAGCTTAAGAGCTGGTAAGTTATTCATGGCCAAAACCAAACATGTGGAAGTGTGTTGAAGCCATAGTTCAAAGATGCTACAGCACCTCATAACAAGTCCAGGCTTAGAAAACTGCATACTTGAATAAAAGCTCAAAGACTGGTGTATGTTGGAAGAGCTTCTCCTCTGCCACTGATGTCCATGCATCCAGCTGGCAAGAGGAGCTTGCTGGGACATGAAGTCAAGGGTTTGCTGTGCACCTACTTGTCTCCAAGGTGGATGAGTGAGCAGCCTGGGACAATCAGATTTTAATCCCTGTTGAAATCTGTGAAGAGCTCCTCTGAACTGGGGCCTGTAAGGGTATGGTGACCAACAAGCCATCTGTGAGCGCTGGGAGCTGATGGGTGAGCAGCATTTCATAAGCCTCAAGGAGAACTGCCACTGTGTTTTCAGAGAGGAATAGACCCCTCAAGCCATTACCTGTCGCTGTCAGAGGCCTTGGGATGAGAATTATTTGTAGCTTCTTGTGTTTGGGGATTGTTAGAATGGTTTGTGTTGGAAGGGACCTTAAAGCTCCTCTAGTTCTAACCCCCTGCCACAGGCAGGGACACCTTCCACTAGAACAGGTTGCTCCAAGCCCCTGTGTCCACCCTGGCCTTGAACACTGCCAGGGATGGGGCAGCCACAGCTCCTCTGGGCACCCTGTGCCAGCGCCTCAGCACCCTCCCAGGGAAGAGCTTCTGCCCAAGAGCTCATCTCAGTCTCCCCTCTGGCAGGTTAAAGCCATTCCCTTTGTCCTGTCCCTACAGGCCCTTGTCCAAAGCCCCTCTCCAGGTTTCCTGGAGCCCCTTTAGGCACTGGAGCTGCTCTAAGGTGTCCCCTTGAGGAGGAGCCTTCTCTTCTCCAGCTGCCCCAGCCCAGCTCTCTCAGCCTGGCTCCAGAGCAGAGCTGCTCCAGCCCTTGCAGCAGCTCCGGGGCCTCCTCTGGCCTCGCTCCAGCAGCTCCACGTCCCTCTTGTGCTGTTCCCCAGAGCTGGATCAGGGCTGCAGGGGGGGTCTCCCCAGAGTGCAGCAAGGAGGGAAGAATCCCCTCCCTTGCTCATGCTCTGGGGATGCAGCTCCATGACAATCCAGCTCTGTCTGTGTGTGTTTGAATAGCCTTCAGGAGGAGGGAGGCTGAGAGCTGCCTGTGGACTGGAGGAGATGTCTTGGTGAGAGCTGTGGGGATGTGACATGGTTGAGTCAAAATGCTTCTGCAGAAGCTGCAGAAAGTTCTTGGAAACCAGGAAATGCCACATCCAGAATTGCCTTAGTTCTTACTTCAGTCCTTTTGTATATCTGCATTACAGTGTGGTCTTTACGTGTTCACAGTTTGGGGTGAAAGATGCCCACTAGCTAATGTGGTTTATCATGTGTGGCTGTTGTGTGTCCTTGTATCCCTGCTCACAAGACCAAAGTATTCATTTCCCCAACAGCTTCTCTGGGGCACCTATTGCTGTGATATCCAGCAGCCTTCTTTAGGGAGGGAAGGCAGCCCCCTTGTTCAGCATGGATTAAAGAGAATTTTTTAGTAGAACTGGATTTTGGGTTATGTTCTTTAAGCAGCCATTTATTTATGTTGTGGTTTGTTCCATGTAAAAATAGTAACAGTGTTCTCTGCCAGCATGCTTGATCTCTGAACCAGGAGCTGGGGACTTGCCTGAGCCCGGAGCCAGCTTGGGGCTGGCCCATGGTGTGGGGAGGATCTCTCCTGCAGTTCAGTTGGGGTTTTTGAACCCAGAAGCTGGTTGAAAGCTGGACCAAAAGCCCCACAGAAGGCTTTGGTCACCTGCCAGGCTGTGAGGTGGATGGGCTGAGTGGTTTTGTGGGGGCATGTTTTGAACCACTGCAGATGAAGATGGAAGTGGAACTGCAGCTGCCAGTGCCCAGCAGGGCCTGTAGCCAGCTCACTGTGCTGTGAAGGGCAGAGTGGCTTCTGCTTGGCTCTCTGAAAGGGTCTCCAGCACAAGAGGTTGTGAACTGGGGCTCTCCATTGAGGGGCATGACCCAGCAGAGGACAAGGTGGCCAAGCCTTGGAGAGGGGTGGTTTTCCAGTACTCAATTTTCCTACATCAATGTTAGTTTACTGTGCATCCATGTGTTTACAGGGAAGTGATCTCAATCCATGAGGCTTTACCCAGCATGAGTGGCATAGTCTTTTTGACTAAAAAATACATTTCTGTGTTACCTGGAAGACTTCAGCAGTAGATATGCAGATGAAATGTTCAAACCATAGCTTACAGTGCATTCATAGTGCAGTGGGTTATTTTTTTGTCTCATAGGGAGATGCTGCTGGGTACAAGCAAAGTGAACTTTGCAGGGAGCAAGAGTGATGATATTGCCATTCCT